TTTTTTTTTTTTTTTTTTTTTTTTTTTTTTTTTTTTTTTTGGAAAGGTCTTGTTGCAGTAGGAGAGAGAGCACAGAAGAGGTCTGGGAACTTCTCTGCTGCAATGAAAGACTTATCAGGTGAGAACAAGACCCTGTTAAATTCTTGCCTTGCCTATACCTTGAATTCATAATTCCTTGTAAGTTTGTGGAAATCTTTTATAACTAGTTGTTTATTCTCCTTACAGGCAAACATCCTGTGTCTGCCTTGATGGAAATCTGTAATAAGAGAAGGTGGCAACCACCTGAATTTCTTCTGGTCCATGATAGTGGCCCCGATCATCGCAAACATTTTCTCTTTAGGGTAAATATGAATTTACATATAAATTATATTAATGTTAGAGGGTTAAGGGATGAGCGTGCTAGAACCACAGTGCTGATATTCTGTGGGTGGGTTACAGATGTGCATATGTGGGTAAAGTTTTTTTTTTTTTTTTTTTTTTTAACTTGTAAAAGGGCAGAAAATTAAAGGGGGGAGGGTATGGGCAAAATCTGGGTAACATTTGGTATTTTTTAGTGGAATATTGGGGTAATTAGTACTTTTATTAGAACTTTAAAATTATGGAGAGCTGCATTTATTTTGCAGTTCCCTTTTTTAAATGATTTGCTGCTTCTGGGCTGAGATTAATTTATGTAATATGGGGTTTATAATTTATAAATTAATTTTAGAATTTAGTGAAAAAGTACAAAGCTAATAGATATTAAAGTTTGATGCTGTTCTTATTGTATGTTTTTCTTGAATAGGTATTGAGAAATGGAAGCCCTTACCAGCCCAATTGTATGTTTTTCTTGAATAGGTATTGATAAATGGAAGCGCTTACCAGCCCAGCTTTGCCAGCCCTAATAAGAAGCATGCTAAAGCCACAGCAGCTACTGTGGTTCTTCAAGCAATGGGCCTTGTACCAAAGGACCTCATGGCTAATGCCACTTGCTTCAGGAGTGCCTCACGTAGATAGATTGAGGTTTTATATTAATCATTTCAGATAATTGTACTCTGCATCACAATGTATTTCCTCCTTAATGTTGTAAATATTTCACAATTTAAGACATTGTGTAAAAAGCAATCTGTACAAACATCTCCAGGCTTTGGTTTTTGTACCATGGAAATTGTATTTAACCATACAGGGTTTTGGTATGTTTATATCGTTTACCTTAGTGATGTATTTGTTTGAGTGGCTAACATCAAAGCAATTGTTTGAGGGCATCAGTAATATTCAGTGTGGAATGTTAAATAACGCTTTTATACTGTATTTTGTACTATGATGTAACTCCCCTTCCTCATGGCTAGGCTGCTGTAACACTTGCCTGTAATCAGTGAAGGGCTGTGCACCTTGTACTATTTAAAAATGGGTTCTGCTGGACAGATACTGGGCCAGTGTTATTACGGTAATGAAGCAAGCAAGATCTGTTCCACAGGGCTAATGCCACCATCTCCCTTTTAAATTTTTGTAGAGGTTATGAAAAGAAAGTGATATGTTGTGTCTAAGTCCTGCATTCCCATTAAAGCCACTTGGGTCGTAAGAAGGGAGTCAAAATGGAAGTCCAACTAGAATTTAACTTCAGAGGCCAAGTACATATTTAGTATGGCTTGAGTTGTGATATAGTTTTACTTTGATGTGCATTTTGAATTTCAGCTACACCTAGATAGACGTAAATAATAAAAATGCTGTAACCAACTTATCTAATAAAAATTGGCAACCAGCCACTATTTTGTTGACTGAGAAAGTTTAAGTTTATGTTAATTTTTTAGGGTCTGATAGAATATTCATGTGTATTACAGTGGTATTCATATGCTATGTCTCTGAACTTTATTTTCAAAAGCTTAAGGCCCAAATACAAACTTCTCTGGAATAAGTGTGGTGTCTTATTCTCTGGCTTTGTGGAACACATATAACTAAGTACTATTATTTCTTACCCAATACTTGTGATTTCTGTGCACGTTTATTTAAAGATACTGAATTTTGTACACACATGCAAACACAGATTACCCACAAGCATTCTGAATACTAACTTGCTACAACTGAGCATCCAACACCTGAAGTACAAAATCCCCGTCATCTGACTGAATGTCCCGAGCACAGAGGAACTAGAAGTCAGTAAAATGCTAAGATGCAGTCTCATCAGCAGTCAGCTTTGCAGTAGCGTACATTTCCCTACGTCTCCAAAGAACCTGCTAATCCAAGGCACATTAGATGCTTTTGTTCAGACCATCAGTCTCAATGGAATAATCGCTACAGGGGATAGCAGTTTCTCATTTGTAACGAAACACTGACTTTTAATTCAGTTTTCTACTCAAGTTACAATTAAGTAGAGAATTCTTAATTCAAATTATCTGAGGTTTAAGGAAACAGCTTGGCTCTTCATATCTGAAAGTGTATAGAAATAATAAAAGCAAAATGTTGGTTTAAAACCTAATGCTATTGCATATAATAAAATATAAAAAAAAAATGTTTAGGGACATTTCAGTGTTTTAAAATATATTCTTCCAAATGCACTTTTAAAGCCAGAGGCCTAAGAATCTTGAATTTCCTTGCTAGGAAGCTTTTCCTCAGAGATTCCTTTTAGGCTTACTTTGGTGTTCAGGATCTCCAATTAAAAATGTAGTCACTCATTTCCACATTCCGTAAAGATGACTTCCCCAGCAATGGCATTTGACTGAGCTGCTCCAGGGTTTTAGGGTGTAGCCCACAGTTAGCAAGATCCTTATGAACAACTTTCTGCAGAAACACAAGTCCACATCCACATTAGTTCTTGAACACTTAAGTTTTTATAATAATCACCATAAAGACTGACAAATAAGTGGCTCATTCACTGAATCATGGCTAGAAGTTCATCCTAATAATTTCTGTAGTTTGAAAATCCTAATTTTTTTTTTTTAACCAGTTTATTGAACTTCATAGGAGTCAGGTAAATTAAAGGACTGTTAACTTCCCTTAAGCAGTCTAAAGATCACTAGAATTCACAGTGAATCAGTGCTTAAGCACTTGCAAGAGTGATGACCAGAACCTACTGAATGCGGGCCAGACAACTGTGCGCCTACAAGTCCGGCCTAAGAGCTCACAGCAAACGTGCCAGTACGACTAGCCATGTTAGCAAATCAAGCCCCAGGCTTCCACGCGTACAAGCACATAAAACTGCAAATAACACGTACTCACACGAAAAGGAAAAGCTTAACTATAGTAAATTGTGTTTCCATAAGTGATACATCAGGAATTATTAAATACCAGCTGTGAGGTCAGTACATTTTAGGTTTGGGAAATTTTTAATATCGCCTGAATTCACGAAATTTATGATGTACCAGTGGATATTCTTCCTTAATTCATATCTTGCTTTCTAACTTGGTACAAATTCGGCCTATTTTAAGTGACATTTAACCCAGCAAGAGGACACAAACAACTTAGTGTACTCACTCTGTCCAGCTCATTATCCAAGGGCAGGCAGACATTGAATACAGCAGTTGGCTCGTGTGCATACAGTCTAGCAGAGAACGACCCTCGCTGGGAAGATCTGAGTAGCATGGTCACAGAATGCAGAGCATGAGGCATGATGGGACCTGAGATCTCCAAACTAAACTGATCTCTGTATCCAGAAAGAGCTTGTGCCTTTACATTAATGCTTCGGGCCTTCAGAAAATTTAAAGAAATAGCATTTTTATTTGGGATTTCTTCAGATAGGAAACAAGTAGTTCCTGAGATTACAACATAATACATGACATACTTCTTCAATTTCTTAGCCTTTGAGGTCTATAACTATTTTTGGGAATGTGCTTGCATTCATACATAAAGGGGGTTTTTCGTAACAGAAGAGGAAGTGATCACCAAGACGTCTTGTCACCAGTTACAGTTCTCCAGTATAGAAAAAGTCCACACAGTGCACTAAGCACAGTGGCTCATGCCTGTGACTCTGGCCCTTAGGAGGTGGGTTCCGCAATAGGGCCATGGGTGACCCTGCCCTCCTGACCGCCCTGCCACCACACCTAGTCCGCAAATAGAAAAACAAAACTACTGGGGATGTAGCTCAGCACACAATGTTTGCCCACTATGGCCCAGACCCCTGGTTCACTCTCGGTGCTCAACAACAAAGCTCAAAGTATGTTAGAACAATACAAAAAGTCATGTGTGTGTACATTTGTATGTATACCATACATACAGACACACACACAAACACTTTTTGGAGACAGGGTCTCACTATGTAGCCCTAGCTGTTTGTGAACTCACTTCTACTTTCCTCTGGCTCCCGTGTGTTGGGATTAAAGGTGTAGCTACCCTGCTTGGCTTGGTGTTTCCCGAATGTGTGTGCATCAAGTTGCATCTGCTGCCTGGGGAGTAAGAAGGCATCAGACCCCTTGGAGCTAGAGTTACCAATGGCTGTGAGCCACCATGTTGGTGCTGGGAACTGAACTTGGGTCTTCTGAAAGAGCGCCAATTGCTCTTAAACATTAATCCATCTCCCCAGTCCCTAGGATATTTTTTGTTTTTAATTGAGAATTTGAGCTAAGCATGGTGGCACAAGCCTTTAATCCCAGCACTCAGGAGGCAGAGGCAGGTGGGTATTTGTGAACTGGAGATCAGAGTGGTCTACATAGTCAGTTCCAGGACAGCCAGGGTTATACAGAGACCCTGTGCTTTAAAATGAATGAATGAATGAATGAATGAATGAATGAATGAATGAATGAATGAATGAAATTAAGCCAGGGTTATACGGAGACCCTGTGCTTTAAAATAAATAAACAAATAAACAAATAGATAGATTAAATAAATAAATAAAATTAAGCCCAAGAACAAAAGTCAAGGTCATGTTTAAAGAAATGAAGCACACTAAGATCTCGATGAAGGAAACACTTGCTTACCTTAAGCATTTGCATTGAGGCACCTCGGAAGGCCACTGGGGACAAGAGAGTTGGTGGGACGCCAGCCTGTCCACCTGAGGTAGCAACTAAACTCTTGCAGTTGATCAAAAAATTGAGCAGTTTGAAGGTGTTGAGTCCTTTTACCAGTAAAACAGACTCAGGTCGGTGATCCATTTGTACTTCATGTTTTTCTTTACGTCTGAAGATGACGATCAAGGAAAGAACAGAAGAAAACCCACCCAAGTGCAGACAGCTACCTTGATTCCAGATACCTGGGATTCCCTGTTCTAGAAATAAAAAAAAAAAACAACAAACTTCATACATGACCAACATGAAGCAGTGTTAAAATCACCAGCTCAATGGAAGTTTTTTTTTTTTTTTTTAAGCTTGTTTTAATTAATTGCTTGGTTTTATTCACTTGGCCACGATGACTTGGGGTACTGGTCTTTCTCCTCCCATTTTTGGGTTTAACACCACCATGCTGGGATTTGAACCTGGGTCCTCTGAAAGAGTAGTCAGGGCTCAAAACTGCTGAACCACCCCTCCAGCCCCAATGGAAGTTCTCAGTAACAACAGAAAGGATACAGCTTGATTGAGATCATGTCTGGCTTTTTAATTTGATCTTGAACTCCTATCTCTTCCAGCCAAGAAAAACTTTCTTCTTCATCTTCATCACTGACTGCTTGCTCCCTAGAAAACTGCTACAGTTAGACGTACATATTCATAGCTGACACGTTTTTTTTACAAACTTATTTCACTGAGTTTGAAATAGTGAATTCATAAAAATTAATGAACATGCAAAAGATTCTGTAATCACATACTCCTCATATTCCAAGCTTGGTTCTGGAACTTTCTTCTTATGGCCAATATCTTCCAGTAAAGGCAGAGAAAATTCAATACCTGCATCAGAAAACATAATTTAATTTTCTTCAGTTAACCAGGAATGTCCTACATATGGGCACACAGACCAGGTTTTCTATTTAAAGGGACTTAATTCTATCCTTCCCCCCATTTCCTGATCCACTGACTCATGAGCTACTCCAGTTAAGAAATTATGAAGAGGGGAGGTGAGACGGTCTGTAGTATCGAAAACTCTAGCATTGGTGAGAGGGCTTAGTGGGCAGTCGGCCACATCTTAAGGCCTGAGCTCGCTTCTTCGAACTCACACGGTGCAAGGGAAGAAATGACTCTTTGAAGCTGTCCTCTAACCTCCACGCCTGCCATGGCATGTGTGCTCACATGCACACAAAATAAATGCATAAACGTAACAAAAATGTTTAAGAAGCAGAGTATATTCAATAAAGCTTGTGGCTTATGGACCTTCTCTGTGCTTTTCACTTCAGAGACTAGAGAAGGGACTCAAGAGACAACTTTACCAGGAATAAGAAAAAAATGAACTGTATCTCATAAAATAATATTGATAACCAATTAGAAAGGTTTTTGGTTTTTGTTTGTTTGTTTTTGTTTTCTGAGACAAGGTTTCTTTTTGTTGTACTGGCTGTTCTGGACTCCTGGACCCACTTTGTAGACCAGGCTGGCCTCAGATTCACAGATCCACCTGCCTCTGCCTCCCCAAGTGCTAGGATTAAAGGTGTGCACCACCACCACCTGGCTCAAAGTATGCTTCTAATATTTAATATTTGCTCTGTATGGGTGTTTATGTCTGTGGAACCACTTGTGTGCCTGGTGCTTACAGAGGCCAGAAGAGGGCATTCGATACTCTGGAACTGGAGTGAACGGATGTTTTTTAGCCACCATGTAGGTGCTAGAACTCACACCCAGGTATTCTGTACAATCCACATGCTTAAATATTAAGCCATTTCTCTAGCCCCCAAAGTCTAACATTTAAGGCAAGAGGAATCTTCAACATTAAACCTCAACTATTACCTTCATTTTTCATAGCTTCTCTTAAACCTCTAGTTGTAGGAGATACGAGCGCTGTGATCACATCACTTCCTGCTAATCCTGCTGCCCGGAATAGGACAGTAAACTGATAGGTACAAACGTAGAAATAGGGGCAAAGCTTTGTCTTCAACAGATTATACACAGAAGTAAAACTCACAGCCCTATGAAGCAAAAGAACTTTTTTCAGGTGTGAAAATATTTTAAACTTCATTCTGTACAATTTAGCCTGACAAGCAGATAAAAACCCAACATAAAATTTTCAAATACTGAATTGAGTTTCTGCAGTTGTGTAATCTTGCCTTTGAAAACTGCTGATGGCCCTTCAGTACCTTGTGGATGTAACCATCGACCTTTGGCCCTTCCCATATCACCCAAACCCTAGAGTCCTGCTCCCGAATGCTCACCTCTAGAATGCCATGTCTATTACCTTACCAGTCACTCATTAAAGCATGCTGCAGGGTTTCATCGTTTGACCATGGACTTGTCTTTCCAGCCATTTTCCTATCAGCTCCAATGCGAGGAAACAGTGGCAGCCATGAAAAGGTAGGGTGAAGCCAGTAGACCAGGGTCTGCTGGAAGCCACAACGTAGCTCAGTGCAAAGTTTAGGATCCTAGATTGCAGTGGAAAAGGGGGGGGGGGGGGGGGGGTTTTTTTTTTTTTTTTTTTTTTTTAATTCATCACAACAATAAAATTTCACTAGAGACACTGAATATATCATACACAATCTAATAAATTTTCTAAGATTTTAGTTCTTAGGTGGGTGTGGTGGCATAACCTTTAACTAACCCCAGCACTTGGGGGGAAGGCTGATTTCTGTGAGGCCAGCATGGTAGCTAGGGTTATATAAAGAGACCCTTCTCAAACACCCCCCACACTCCCTGCCAAAAAGATTTTCAATTTTTAACTGTATGTATGGCTGCACATTACAGTGCCAGTACAAGTCCTGGAGCTGCAGTTCTGAGCAGCGTCAACCTGGTTTCTCTGGGGCAACAATGTGCTCATTTAATCGCTGAGCCACCTTTCTAGCTCAGTCTACGGATGTTTAATGCTTTTTATTGGGGAGCCTTAGCAACTGTGGCAGGCTGAAATTTGGTCTACCTTTGCTTTCTGGATGGCAGACACCGTGCTGAGCACGCATCAGAAAGTACACATTCAAGTGGACGGGACATTCTGTCTCCGCCTTTCCTGAGCATGGCTAGCTTCCAGATGACAGAAGGGATGTGCATGCAGGACGGACGCAGTCTTCCCGGAGGAAAGTGCCAAATAAACGCAGGAAAGAGCATCTTTCCCCCCTAGGAAAATAGCCTCAGAAGTAGTAAACCCTGGTAAGCAAAAATTACAAACTGTCTCGATTTAGTTCTTGAGAGGTATCTCTCATCCTTTCTTAAGCAAACCCTTATAGCCTAGTTTGCGTTCATGAGCTGCTTCATACTAACTAAATACTCTGAGACCATTCCAGAACTCATTCATTCTTCAACTGGTTAAGAACCATAGTATGACAGGGCACAATGGCACATACCTGAAATTCCAGCACTAGAGAGGCAGAGGCAGGCAGATCTTTTTGGACCAGGCTGGTCTACAAAGTGAGTTCCAAGACAGCCAGAACTATACAGGGAGGCCTGGTCTTGAAAACAGACAAACCTAACAAACAAAAACACCACTACCACCAACAAAACACCCCCCCAACAACAAAAAAACCCCAGAGAATGTTCTACGTATGAAACATCAGTAAAAATTCATCACCTATTGCAAGTCAGTAACTTTTTATGTTTTCTCAAAAACCTTACAAAAGGTTATTTTAGAGAAGACAGTGCCTGTCTGCACTACTGATTTACCTCCAGGCCCTACATGTAAGGAGCAGGTCTTAACCTGACACGCGTGAAGTGAAAGTACCCTTGGGGAGAACTGCCATCAACCTTTAGAGTCTACACCTGTCAGAAGAACAGCATGACAGAAAGCAGTGAGTGTATGTTAAGGAGAGACCCTTCACACTTAACATGAAACACTGGCATAGCCTGACAGGGCCTGGAATGAGGCTTAGTGGTTTATAGGAACCTATGTTTGGAACCTGGCACCCACACAACAAGTTGAGATTCTCCTGTGCTTGCCTGTAACCCCAGCACTGAGGACGGCAGAGGCAGGAGGATCACTGGGGCTTACTGGCTACTAGGCTAGCTACAAAAAAAAAAAAAAAAAAAAAAAAAAAAAAGCAACAAAACCAAAAACAGAGCTCTTGGCACAAAGAAACCCCTCTTCAAGGGAACAACATAGAGAGTGAGAGAGCTCACAGGACCATCTCCTTAGGCTACTGTCCTTATTATCTGCATGTTCAGCCACGCCATGGACAAACATGCACACTCATATAGCCCTCCCTTCCCTCTCAGGCTCCTTCATTTCACACTCACCGGTATACTCTGGGGTAAGGTAACTCCTGTTGCCCTGCAATGCTGGACGAGTCCGTGGGCTTCCTCCTGGGCTTTCAAATGATCTGCCCAGGAAAAGGGTTGAGAAGAGGTGAAAAGGAGTCGGGTTTTAATACTCCAGTCCACAGGTAACTCAGCACCATCTGAAGACCAAGTGTCCGATTCAGAGAATATGTGTTGACTCTTTAGAAAACGAAGAAGACAAAATTAGAATTTCAAGAAAGTTCTTTTAATACAAAGTTCTTAGTTATTCTACTCTTGATCAATAAAATGTCAAAATTTGTGAGTGGTCTAACATTAAAAATATATTATACCTGCAAAGTCTGAAAGGTAAAAGCAAGCTATTAAGACAGGTATCAGACCAGGGAGGTGATTCCCAGGGTAACAGCCCTTGCCACCAAGCCTGAGTATCCCAGCTGGGATGGGGGTGGGGATTTACCCTTGAAAGGACACAATAAAAAAAACCAACTAAATAAGTTTGGTGGGGGTGGTAGAGGGTCATAGTTCACTTTTTAGTTTTTACACTTCTGTCTAGTACTACAGAAAACAAAGTAGAAATGTTTTATTATTTTCCCCCACGAGATAGGGTTTCTCTGTCTCCCCTGGAACTCACTCTGTAGGTCTGCCTGCCTCTGCCTCTCTACCCAGGTATGTTCCCAGCATTTAAAGTGTCTTGTAAGACCCTGAACTATTTCAACTAGGGCTAAGCTCCTTCTTTATTTAGATTAAGAAACCTTGGTAGAACTCTTAAAGGGCTTAGAAAATATTTTCTTAAAGAAGGAAAGAAGAGAAAGAAAATTGTAGTCAACCTGCTGTTCAAGTCCATATTCTCCACACTATAAAGAGGATTCCCTTAGGGAACATGATAAAAATCTCCTTTCAGGGGACCTGCCTGAAAGCTAGAATGGATCCTGTGAACGCTTTCAGCCAATTCCCATTAGAAAAAACTGCATCTACTGATAAAGGGGGGGGGGGGGGCGTGGTGGCCTACTGCTTGCTCAACATGCAGGGTCCACGGTTTGATCCCTAGCATAAGCCAGTCTTTGACTACCGGAGTCCACTGCTATCATCACAACACAGGTATAGAAATGATCGATCTCAAGTTCCTGTTTTCTTTTTGCAGACAAGGTGTCATGTGTCCCAGGCTGGCCTCAACTCTCTGTGTATCTGAGGATGTCAAACTTTAACACTCCTTCCTTCACTCTCCTAAGTGTGCACCATCATGTCCCATGTTATGATTCTGGGGAGCCAACATAGAGGCCTCTGAACACTGTGCAAGCATTTTACAAACTGAGGTACAGTCCCAGACCTCCAACTTGTTCTTGAAGCTATTTATTTTTTCTAAAAACAAACAAACAAACAAAAAACAAAACAAAACATGCTTTCGAGAAGTTTGTTTATTAGACCATACATTATAGCCATATTAAAAAGTATTCCATGGGCTAGGCCATCCAGATGGCTCAGAAGGTGCAGGCTCTTGCTCCAGAGCCTGACTGACCACCCGAGTTCAACCCTGCTACCCACCGGGAAGGACTGATCTCCACATGCACGACTGCGGCACACACAATAGATGTAATTTTTAAAAGTACCTGGGATAGTTCAGTGACAGTTCTTTCATGAGACGCCTCCTCCCACAGCAAGTTATTTTCTCCATTGGAATCTACAAGCTGAGGTTAAAAAAAGGTTGTCCTTTTAAAACTTAGGCCAGAGGGAACTTGCTTAAAATATGTAAGGGCTCACCTGGCACACCATTTTCTCAGGAGAGCGAGTGGGAACTCAAATCCATACAGTACCAACATGTTTCATTTCCGTTTTGTGCCTGAACTTATCAAAATGGGAGGGAAGGCCAGACTGATGCATTTAGTAACTGATACATAAATGTTAGACCAACAGATCCAAAAGGCTTTATGGGTAAGGCCAGTATTTGTAAATTCTGACCCGATTTATCCTCAACAGCCCTCCATGTTCAGGGTAAGTAATTTCGAGTGCCCGAGAAAAAGGAGGTCCTGAAGGATGGTGGGAAGGCAGCCTTTGGCTGCCCATCCGAGCTGCCTTGCAGGATGAGTTGTTCTGAGGACTTTTCGAGCTGCCTTCCCGCGTATCTCTTGGTCCATCTTCACAGGGCTTCGAGGGCGGCCATCTCCGGCTCAGGACATCAGGCTGCGACAGCTCTTCGCGCCCAGGCCCGCCCCTGACGCCCCACCGCCCGACACGGAGACTCACCGGGCCCAGCGCTCCCTGCGGACCGCGGGGCGGCTCCTCGCGGGCCTCGCCGGCGACCCGCAGCCGGTTGTCCAGGCGGGCGAAAGGGTTCCTGCGGGCGACGGTCGCGGCGGCGGCGCCGCCTCTGCCGCCCGCGGTCGGGAAGGGGCGCAGGGGCAGCCCGGCCGCCAGCGCGGCGCGGCGGGGCGCGGGCTCCGGCAGTGCGGAGGGCACGCCGGCGCCGTGGTCCCGAGACCTTTTACGGCGGAGCCGCACAACCTCCGGCGGCCTCTTGAAACTAGGCGAGTAGCCCGGCACCGAGACAGCCATTGCGCAGCGCGGAGACAGCTCCGCAGCCCGGCCGGGGCTTCCCGCGCGCTCCGGCCCCGCCCCGGCCCCGCGCTGCTCGCCGACTGGAGGCTCCCGAGGCCCCGCCCCTCTGCGGGCCCGCCCCTCCAGAGCATGCGCGCCCGCCCGCCCCCCCCCCCCAACAGATTTCTCGGTAGCCGCTTCCGGCCCGGCGCGCGCAGCCCGGGGCGCTCGGTCTGCAGTTCTGCCGCGAGGCCTGGCGTCGCCGAAACACGTCACCAGCGCGCATCACCCCAGCGGGTACGGAAACAGATGAACACTACTTTAAGTGGGCATCGGGGATAGCGGCAGTCCCGGTACGAAGACTGAATGCAAAGCAAATAGCACACTTGAGTTGTGGTGACGGGCAGCTGTTTCTCTCCGAGAGAAGCGGCAATGTCATTCCGAGAAAGACGGAGCCTTGCTGCACCCCACTGCTCAACAGAGTACCCAACGAGGGAAAGTCCGCAAGCCTCAAGCTAGCCTCAGATCGGCTCTTCCATCCTTCTTAATGCCCGGCCACCCCAGCCCTCTATGCAAACGCTATGCCACTACTACACGACCAGGTGCTATGATTCTGTATGATCTTGGAGAAAGTCAGAGGAAATGAATATTTAAAAGCCAATGGATTCGATACTTTGAAGTCGGAAAATACACTCAAATGCTAAAATAATGGCAGCAAAGGCTTGTTAAGGAAGGTGTTGAGAATGAAGTTGATACAAAATCAAATTATGTTTTCACGGTATAGCAAAAGCTTGTGACAGATGTATTGATAGAATAATGTGGCTTTTGCTGAAAGCAGTTTTCTTAGTGGAAAGAATTTTATAGCAGAGGCAAAGTGTATAGATACAATAATAAGTTTTTGGACTACCCCCTTAAGATGTTAAAAAATTATCTGGATTGTTTGCACATTAATTTGCAAGTACTTTTCAAATATGTTAAATAACCAACATCTTATTATGGCAGGAAACAGGCTTAAAAATAGAAAAACTTGTTTTATCTTCCTTGATTTTTCTCAACAATTTCCAAAGAAAACTGGCTTCATATACTGGTATGGGTGCATCCAACTGAGGTCTGGGAAAGAGAATTAAAATTGAACAACTTGCTTTTTTCTTTCTTGATTTTTCTGAACAACTTCCATGGAAACTTTTGCCTCATACAGTGGAATGGGTTCATCAAGCAGAGGCCTGAGGAGGAGAAATTATTAGAAATGTCAGGCACAGGCACAGCAGAACACACAACATGCAGTAGACCATACAGTGGCTGTATTCCCTTAAATAGTCCAAACAAATTGGTGGTGGCATATACCTTTAATCCCAGCACTGGAGAGACAGAGACAGGTCAATCTCTGTGAGTTCCAGGTTAACATGAGCTAGTCAGCTATCTTAGAAAAGGAGAAGAGGAGGAGGAAAAGAAAAAAATCCAAACAAAATTACTTATCCGTTACTATTTCTATGGTTTAAATTAAGTAGTGATTTTCTCTCTTCTTTATTTTCTAAAACAGACTTGTCTTGTTAGACAGCCCTGTGTGGCCTAGAACTCATGGTCTCTGCCTTAGTCTTCCAAGTGCTGTGAACACAGATGTGTGTCATGACAGTGGGCTAAGTGTTTAAGTTTTGAAAGAAAAATATACTACTCTATCCCTTTGTGTAACTCTTACTTTATACGTGATATAAAAAAACCAAATTTAAACAAACATCATACCTTTCCCCTCTTGTCAAGCTATGAATTATTTCAAATTCTTTGGGAAGAGCTATGAAGAAGGGAAAGGTGAGGCAGAACAGAACTGAGGGGAGAGGTCACAAAACTGTCTCTGTGGTAATGCCCACTGCTGCACAACCACATACACTTTGAGAAGTATATTTTTATCTAAAATGAATTAAAAAGTAGAAGCACTACATACACCATAAAACTAGAATAAAAACAAATGCCCACTTCTTTTCTTGGAGAATATAAAGGAACAATGATTTAGGTTTTTTTTTAGCATACCTGAAAATACCAGCTGATAACTTCTCCATCACATCTTTTAAGATACGTAAATGGAAGGGTTGTTAAGGTGGCAATTTAACAAAGAGGGTATTAAATAAACTATTTAAAATGCTGGACAGGTCTCCTTTATTTGTTTTTCTTTTAAAAAAAAAAGCTTTGTACATTCAAATTCAAAGTGGTATTACAGCAATTAGAAACTCACTTCTAAAGCAAAGGGATGACTTGAGAGAACTGAGGAACATAAGCTTCTAAAAACAAGTGGTGAAAGCAGCACTCTGGTACTTGAACAGTGACTGGACTGACTGTCCAGTGGGACAGTCAGCAGGCTACTACTATGTGTGGGCTCCCATCTATGTGTTATGTGTGGTATTTACATGCCTTTCATGACATAAACATTTATCAAGAAATCTGGTTGGGAACAGGTTTCATTTGGTGTAAATTTGTGTATAAAAAACGGAAAAAGCTAAGTATGAGTCTAATTGTGGTAGTTTTAATGGAGAATGTCCCTCATTGGCTCATGCATTTGAACACTTGGTCCCCAGCTGGCAGTGCTGTGTGGTTATGGAAGCCTTAGCAGGTACAGCTTTCTGGGAGGAAGTACTTCAGCAGCAGCAGCCTTTACTAGTTTATGGCCTGGCCTCATCCCTGCTTCCTGACCTCTCTCTGCTTTTGGTGTGTGGATAAAGGTGTGTTGGCCCAGGCTCCTGCTCTCGATGACAGGTCATGCCCTCCCACCCTTCTGGAACTGTAGGCCAAAGTAAACCCTTCCTTCTATAAACTGCTTTTGGTAATGGTGTTTATTCCCAGCAACAAAAAAGTAACTAATATACTACGTTCCCAGCAATCAAAATTATATCCATATTCAGAAAATAAAAATAAATATGGTCTGGAAAAATGGCTCATTGGTAACATCACTTGCTGTATCTGCTGATGGCCCAGGTTTGGTTCCGAGCATGCACAGGGCAGCTCACAAGTGTCTGTAACTCTAGTTTCAGGGGTTCTGACATCCTCTTTTGGTCTCCTTGAACACCAGGGCACACACAACATGCAGGCATAGACCTATACACAGACACATAACACCAGGCCAAAATATATCGTCTAAAAAAATAAAATTTCCCAGTACCAATACTTGTGCATGGCCCCATCATAGCACAGCACAGCATGCTCTCTCTTAAAGACCCATTTTATGCTAGGTTAAATGCAAAAGAGAATCTCCCACCTGTCTGCTCAGCAGTCAGAGCAGAGCATGGGGCGTGTCTGATTCTGGCTCTTGCTCTCTACATGCCTGGGCACGCAGTAGCAGCGTCTGTGAACAGCAGCCTTTGCACCTGTGCAGTGGCGCCCCATTCATACCTCACAGACTTACTGTGTAAGCGAATGTAAGATGACTACCACACTGTCACGCATGCTCAAGCAAAGCACACAGCTAATTGTAATTTCTTATGGTTGTACTGGAAGAATTTATGAGTACAAGGCAATTTGAAGCTAGCAACTTAAATCAGTAGAAAAAGGATATAAAGATATTTTCCCTGTTGTGCATTTGACAAATTCCAAACTTCATCATTAAGGAAAGCCACCGTTGCTCCCTTGAGGAAAAGGCAATGGCTATCTGGAGGATCCAACTTTGATAGAAGAAACAAAGACAAAACAACTGCTATTAGGTTGAACAGCACAAGGGTGCTTAAACTAGAAAACCTTTAATACATATTAAATACTGTAGAAAACACAAGAACTCAGCTCCAAGCTTAACAGCTGTTTGTTGACTCTTTATGTTTTCTTCCCTGTGTCGCAATGAAATAACGAGGGCAGGGTAGACGCAGGGCCAAACAGTTGGTGTATGACGTGTGGCTTCTTGCCACTGCTATCAGTCACCTCTGTCTATTAGAAAGTCCAGACTCATAGAGTATAGTATAGTATAATATATAGATTATAGTATATGCTATTTATAAACATGTCATATATAGAATTATAGTATTTGTATATTAGCTATGATATAAATATTCAATCAGAATTGTATTGAAAAATATAAGTTTGGGAGGTAATTCATCTACCCATATGTGTGGTAATATCATTTTGGGTTATTAAATTATTATATTATTTATAAACATCTCCTTATGGTTGCGAAGTTCCTGGAGAGAAAACTAAGGGTTTGGGAGGTGGCTCAAGTATGCTTGTCCCACAGACACAAGGGGCAGGTTGGATGGCACTATCCTGTAACAGGCCAGGTGCAACAGTGCGCATCTGTCCAGCCGTGCTGGACAGGCAGAGACGGACGAGTCCTTGGGTCTTGATGCCAGCCAGTCTAGCCAAATTGGCAAGCTCCAGGCTCAGTGAGGGGTCTTCTCCCGGAAGATCAGGTGGAGAGCAATAGTGGGAGGCATACATTCGCACACAGAGATAAAAGTGTAATTTGAAATACAATTTAGAAATCCAGAGGTCGCTAGGTACAATGAACTAAAACTGTAATGCATTCTAACTGCCAGTTAGAGTTTGGCCAGTATGTACCTAACACAGAAAAGAAGCTACATTACTTTAAGCACAGGGTGTAATCAGAACTTCCACTGTTCTTGGCTAATGACTCCCTTGGTGAACAGCAAGGCTTAATTGTTTCTGATAATACCTGAAGGTTGTCTTCTGTTGTCACCCAGTGGCCTCCAACACCAAGAAGTGTGATGATGTCATGCTTATGTGGTAGTTGTGACTTTACAGCTGCTTCTTCATCTTTACTGTATAATCTCACTTACAAATGAATAGTTAAAGAAGAGAGAAGAGGTATATTTTATAAAAATCTGACAATTTATTTTGCATATCAATCTTTTTTATAGCAAGAGACATTTTTCTTAGTAAAAGGCAAACTTAGTTAGCTTTAAGCTACCCCAAAATATAGCATTGACTTAATTAAAATTGAATGCAAACAGAATGAATTTTGATTTGGAAGCAAGCTAATTCTAACAACCTTAGCATAATACAGCAGGATAAAATGCTGTCTTGTTAAAATACCAAGCCACACACACTGAAACACACATTTAAAAAGTGACCACAGCAAAGTACAGTCTTGACTTCCACTGGAAGAACACTATTCCA